TGCGTTATCATCTCATCAAAAGTACCTGATATACTACAGGTTGTGTAATACTGGCCTTGCAGCGAACTACTAAACATCTCTACCATTTCTCGTTCTAACATGGGAGGTTACACTTCTGCGGTTGGGTTCTTGTATGCGCCATGTCAGTGTTATACTGATAGTGTAAAACAAATGCTTCAACCAATTCTATCCACATATGGATACGACTACTTTCCAGCTGCATGTACCATTCGAGTGGGCCACCTGTCAAACTATCTTGAAAGAAGTGCATCAACAGTTTCTCATTGTTAGAATACGCATACATCTTCCGATAAAAAGACTTAACATGGGTTTTGGACAGGAAGTGCCTTTGTACTTTACGAAGTCAGGCACCTTGAATTTTGGGGGAATCCTTACTCCGGGCACCAAGCCTAAACCAGACATGTCAAAGCCTACTTCCCCTTGACTCTTAAACTTGCGCATCCGTTCTTCAAGCATATGCAACTTCTTGCTAGCTTCAGTTGGTTCTTCCACATTAGTCATCCAGTCTTCCCAATTATCTTCTTCCACCGGCCTAACAGGAATGCGAACAGGCCTTGGTAACACAATAGGTTGTTCAGCGCTCTGATGAACAGGAGTAGGTGGGGGAGGATTCCCCACAACTTGATTCCCAGGGATGCCCTGGTTACCTGTAGGGTAGCAGAAATTTGTATGCTGACCGTTTTAGGTATTCAGACTGACATTCGAATCTCGACTCATATTTCGAGTACCTCCCGGATTCTCCACCGCATTCCGAGCCCCCAGAATACCGTTAGGATTATTGATGACGACTCCTGGTGGATCGGCATTCAGATTTTCACCCCCATTATTCAAAGCTTCAGCAGGCCTCACAATCAAGGCCCTCATTTCCTATCGTTGACGAGCCATGTTCTGAATAATATCCATCAACTGATCGACTCGAGTATCCATCCTGGTTCCCATAGCCACAACATCTGCTTAAATCTGTTCCATCTGTCTTTTGGTAGTGCTTCGAGTATTATAATGATGAGAATTCGTAGTGGCTATCTTCTGCAAAGGGGAGGCCCAAATCAAGGAATAAGAAGACATGCCATAATTATTTCTCATATTATGATATGTATGAATGCATGATTGTGTATGCGATGTTATATCATTTCCAGTACACCCAAAGTTTTATTACCCCTTAGAAATTTTAAACAACGTGATAGAAGAGACAAACAGTGAGAAGAAATTTTGATAACAATTGATCTCATTAAAAATATCATTCATATGATCCAATGGTAACTTCTTACAAGCCTGATTCAGAAAATGTAATGAAATCTAAATGACCCCATCCAACAAGACTGGTGGTGATCAAAAGACAAATAAAGAAGAAGAAAAAGGAGAACAAGATAATCAACGGGTGGATCTCTAATCTCTGTGTAGTACAATGGTCCTCCTTGCCGGAAGTACTCTTCACTCTATTCCTTAGTTTCTTCGAATAATTTATTTGTCTTTTCATGATCCCGTCCACAAGCAAAGATATCGATTACCACATCATTCCGAAATAGTTGTCCCTCGAAGTACACACATTGCTCTAGGAAGCAATCACATTCTTTACATGCTGGCAAAGGTATAGGCACGGGCGCTTCTTCCATCTCTTTTATCTTGTCTCAGAGTCTTGTGTTCTCTTTCAGCACTTAGGTCATTTGATCTTCTTTTGCTTCCAACTCCATCCTAGCAACTTTAAATTGGTTTCTCAACTCCTTAACTTTGGCTTTGTTCCTATTGTTGGCCATCTGGAATTTCAAAGTTTCTTGACGATTCTTTTCTGCATCGGCGAGGGCTATTTGATACTCTTCTGTAGATACAAAAGAGTTTTCAGCTCTGAGTCGTTTTTTGGAACTACTTTCCCCTTCATACTCTTTTAGCTGATGGGCCAAGTCCCTTTTCTTTTCTATTAAGAAATATATTTCCATTTTTTTGTCTTCCAGATTCTGGCGAAGGTCCCTATTTTCCAATTGTACTTGATAGAAGCGTTCCTTAGGTACACCGTGTTGTAACTCAGTGGGTTCAAGATACAAGGATATTTCCTTTTCAAAAGGCAACATAAGATTTTTGACTCTTTCCTTCAACCAATCCACGTAAGGATTGAAAGCTAATACCTCTTTTAACCCAAAGAATTCCTTTCCTTTCCTTCCAACATGTGGCCAAGAAATTTCCACCTTCTTTAATAATTCCGGATCTAATCCTCTTTTGTAATACATAGGTTCGACCTCTTTGGTTGTGGGTGGATGCCTCATGGCATAACCTAATTGGCGAAGAGCGAGTACTGGGTTGTAGTGTATAACCCCTTTTGTTCCTATGAGTGGAACATTAGAGAAACCTGCACAGTGGGAGATGATTTCGGTACTATCGGCCTTAAGTTTGTACCATTGGATATCGAAAGAGGTGAGTGTCATTACTTTGGATGCCCATGAACGAGAATCTTCTTTGAATGGCCCTTTGGTGGGTAACTGTGCCATGAACCATTTGTAAAGCATTGGTATACATCATACCACTACTCCTTTCTTTCCATGCCTAGAGTGGATAGCATGGTAAGTATCTGCTAATAGTGTAGGTATAAGATTCTTATTCATGAAGACGCAAAGAGAAGCCAAGTCTACAATTTCTTTAATCTCAGGGAATAAGACAACTCCGTAAATGATAGCAGCCAACAGAGCATAATAAGCATCCCAGTTTCCTGCGTTTGCCACTTCCTTATCCTTACTTACCAAGAAATCTACAAGAAGACCACAAGTGACTTTGTTACGTCTCCATTTCAATTTTACATCGTTAAGGCTTAAATAAAGAACCTTAGCAATGGCCTCATAGTCAGGCTCAATAGGGACTCGAACAAATAGAACATGACTGGTGAGCTTAATGTGGCGAAGATGAGCATACTCCTCAAGAGTAGGTCCTAACTGGTAGTCTTGAAATGTGAAACAACGCAACTCTGGATCATAAAATTGTAACAAAGTCTGTAAAGCCTTATCGTCAACCCGAGCATCCAATAAAGATAGGAGATTCCCATATCTTTCACCAAAAACACCCATTTGTTGACAATTCATGAGGTCTCCGAGTTCTTCAAGAGAGGGCCAAATACTAGGACGAAACTGATAACTGAAGTTATCCCTTTTTGTCTTTAGGATGATATCATTGTTGTTTTCCATTCTTTAGAGGAAAAGGAAACCCTAGAGAGATCCTGGAAATGACAATGCACATGCTAATATATATATATATATATATATATATATATATATATATATATATTTTTTTTTTTTGAAAAGTAAATATGCTATGATGTATGTGAAAATGATCATGGGGTTACTACTTCCATGATACTGATTCCTGTTGTACTGCCTCTTCATATTCTGTTAATACTAGGATTACAGGTCTGAAACATAACCGGAAGAAATCCATGAAGATCATAGTTGGAACCTCAGAAAATAAATCAGAGAACCTCATAATTGTCGGCAGAAATCCAGGACATAATCAAAAGTAACCGTATGAATATAATCATCAATTGAGCATGAGTAACCATCTGAACATAGTCACCATTTGTACCTGTGAAAAAAATTCCCTCCCCACTCACGGGTGAAGACTAGGTCAGGGTAAGACAATGGTAACTCGAAAATCACGGGTTCGTTTGAAAGTAAAATCATCGTAACACAGACGTGCATTATGAGAGTACCTCCAATTGAACCTCATCCGAGCATGGTATATGACATGACTGCACTAGTCGGACCACGTCCTATAGCTGTCATGCCCCTACTCTATTCCTAGGTGTCCTAGTGCACTCTGGCCTGGGTACTGGGCCTTTTACCTCAATAGTAACATCCCCCACCAAACAAGAAGCAGATCTAGTACAACAGCGATATATGGAAGACAATAAGATGCAAACGCATATATATGCTCAAGTATATACAAAATGAATGAATAAACTGAAAGCATAAAAAATAAAACACCCAAAGAAAGAAAAGCAAGAGATATGAACGACTATGGGATGGACCAGCATTTGGTCAACCTCTCCCCAGTGAAGTCGCCAGCTGAAACAACCGTCTGAAAATCATCAAACAATGAAGTTGCCATCGAACGTCTTTTATCCCACGGGAAGGTAAACATCGAGAAAACCAGAGAAAGGAGAAGTCACAGTCTTCCGACCGAGATATAAGGGTAAGGGAGTTTGAAGTTTGTAAGAAACAAAAGTTTTTGTTTTAAATTCATATGCAAAAAGGGAAAGAAAAGTCAAAGGGAGACTAGCCTATTTCTAAATCTGATGTTATCGTACTTCACACGATCCCTAGGAAGCGATAAATGCAGAGAGAAAGTAGAAAGAAAATATACCAAACAAGTTCTAGCCAGTAGAGCAAAGCAAAAATCAAAGAAATCTGACAATCTCGCGAGCTGCTTAGCACCAACAAAGAAAAGAGTCGGAAATAAAATACGCAGCATAAGTGTCGAAGCGTCATTGATGTGAAAATAAATCACAATCGAAAACTCAAGCATATCTGCATATCCTGCATAATATTACAACCTCAAAAGCAAAGATAGGTTAGAAATTTCAAGTGATCGAATAATCAGAATTTAATTCCTAAAACACAATTAAAAGAATCTAACAAATTTTTATACTTGATTTTTTTTATTATTATTTTTTTTATCATCAGTTCTAAAACAAAACAAAAAAAAAAGAAAAAAAAAAGGCCATGGAAATTTAAAGAGAATTAAACTTAAGGGGTGTTATGCTGAAGTCAAGGGGTGTTGAGGCAATTCTGGCACCTAGGCCCAGACTGTTGAGTCCACAATACTATTTTATTTGCAAAGCACATAGGCCCAGACTGTTGAGTCCACAACTTATTATTAGCTACAAAAAAAATATCCCATGTTTAGTAAAGATGTTAGGGTTATTTGTATAGTTTTTATTCAGCTCTCCCTTCTTCCTCTCTTTCGATATTCTGCCGCACCATCAACGGTCGTCACGGCTGATGCCAGCGGTGTGAGATCCTCGTCGAGTCAGCCTCGCCTCACTACTTTCATCCTGAATCCGTGAATCGCAATCACCTATCTGTATCTGTCACGACCTTCCTTCTGCATCTGGTCCGATATCTTTCAACCCTCGCCCACTCAACCAAAATTGAAATCCTCATTCTCAAATCCTTCTGATTCTTACCACATCTAATGATTCTTAATAAACCTATGTTGCAAAATATGTTTCTAAAGACAAATCATAAAAATAACACGGTAAAAAATGAAGCACAATGAAGGAATCAACGATTAACAACCTTAGTCGCTCCGACGGCTTTTTAGCGATGGCGAATCACGAGATATCCAGGTAGGATGGAATTTCCTTTTCTCTTCTTCTGCTTTTGATCTTTTTACTTAGTTTTCTTCCTCCTCTCCGTGAATGTTATGATTTTTGAAATGAAACCAGAAGAGGATGATGATAGCGTTATTGTTGTTTACTTGTTCTTGAGTGTTGCAGAAAAAATGTTGTGATGACACCGTCGTTGACGAAATAGAAGATGATGCCGCTAAGAAACCAGCAATTGGAGATGATAGGAAGAGATACATGGTACAGTTGTGGACTAGAGAATGGGTTCTTGATGATTGATGATGATCGAAGCAGTTGATGTGTTGGATCTGTTTTGCTGTGGGGAGGTGTTGTAGTAGAGGGAAGATTGCAGGGGTTGTTATGGTGATGGTGATGAAGAACGATAGAGGTTGATGATGTAGTACGTGAAGGCTATTATAGATTGTAAAAGATGAAGTAGAGAAAGGGATGAAAATATGGATTCATTTGCAGAGAGAGAGATTTTTGATGATGAAGATGTGAAGGTTTCGAGAGATTTTTTCCACATCATTTTGTGGTGAGTTCCCCTTTGTTTACATGATGAATGATTGTATATATTCTCTCTCTCCCCTTCTGTTTTCTGTTATATTCCATTACAAATTTCTTCTGGAAGTTTTTTTTGTTATAGAATTGGTTAGAAAGTGGTTAAGATGTTAGAAGAAAATCTGTTTTGGCCGTTAGAAACCGTTAGGAAGCAGTTTGGGTTTCTATTATACCATCATGGTTTAGTTGGGAGGTTAGAATATGGTTATAGGTTAGTTTTCGGTTGTTAGTTTTGGGTGATGTTAGTTAGGGGTTATTGGTGGAAATTTGTTGGAGCTAGTTATAAAATTCTATTTTGACAGTTAGGATAGTTAGAGTTAGTTATTAGTTATAGGTTTGTTACAGGCTATTTGGGAAGATTCTGTTACATATCAGTTTCTATTTTCTATTAGAGGTTATTTAGAATAGTTTGGCTAGTTAGTTATAGGTGGTTGAGTTAAGAAAACAGTTAGGGAGTTCTGTTAACTTCAGTTGGGCACTTGGGTGAGCTGAAAAATTGGTTGTTGAGTTGGTTATGCAGGGTAGCTATAGATAAAAACAGTTTTCCATTACTTTGAATTTTTCCATTTCCAATTCTGAGTTCTGAACCCTCCCTATTTTCCTTCCGTTTATCGAGCTATTACCCAAAATCTGTTAATAAGCCAACCTTGTTTTAACTTTGAACACATATTGTTGGATGGGTTTTGTACCAAGTTCTTCTTCTGATAGTGATATTTATGCAGGTTTTAGTAAATTTGGGCAACAGCAGAGCAACCGGTTTATTGTGCAACTCGAGGTTTAATGACAGTGGCGATGCACCTCTTGGAAACATGGAGGATTGGAGAAAACAAAGTGGACCTGGTTTTGATGTCATGAAAATGTCTTGCAAAGGCTTTGGATTTGAAGCTTGAAAGAAAGCAGGGGATTTGGTTGAAGCCTTCAAAGTCAAGGCATGATGAAAGTTACTTGGAGTTGAATTAAGAAAGCTTATGAAATTAGGATTAAGGCAAACAATTTATGTATTTTTTTTTCATGTGTTTGATTCATTTTGAATGTAGTAATATTTGGTTTCTTTTGTTTTGGAAAATAGTGATGGAAATTGGAATGAGATTTACAGTCTTCTTGTAATAGAACTTGAGTGAAGACACAAATTCAACTTAAATGGTTATGTAACCTTGTGAACTCTTGACTTCGAATGACGAAATACTTATACTTGAAAATCTAATCCTTTTTTATTTATTAAGGTTTTGCATAAGATCATGTAATCATGCAGTGAGCTCAACAAGATATTCGTTAAACAATCAAAATGATTTGCGAGTATTAACTTCTCACTTGTGCATTCCACGCATTCAAAGTAGAGACTTGAATGGGATTAGATGTGATCTTGAATGTTGTTTACACGAAATTCACTTGCTTTTCCAAAACTTCAACATTCTAATGAGCTCTCAATTATGGACTTTAACAACTCCATTTGAACTCAAAGACTTCGAATAAACATCCTAAAGGGATCGGCTTGTACCAATTATTCATGAATTAAGTCTTGAGCAACAAAAACTTGTCAGACAATATACCTAATATCATGATGCATCCAACCCTGATTGACGGACCAAAGAAAGGACGAATCTAGTGCATTAATGCCATAATCAGTACCTTATGATTTAAGCAAAAAGAATTCCTTTAATTGATGAAAGACAAGTCTCCAATAGCCATCATCAGATAAACCGCACCTGACTAAAGGATGAAAACCCCCGTACGAGAAGACGGCTTGAGGAGCTAGCCAAAGCCAACCAGTCTTGGATCATGATGAACTTTGCTTTCGTAACTCCAAGCACTCTATACTCGCGGATTCTGAACTCATGGAACTAATTAGTCATTGTGATGGATAATTCACAATAGCGAACTCGACTCAAATTTAAATCTTAAATCAAAACTTCAATCTTGAATCCAAATCCACTTGCATGATAATTAATTTGAATAGACAATAAGATCTCGATCCTAAAGAATTCATAACCTTGCCTTTTGTATTGTGACTCATATTTCTCGATTCAATCCACAAATCTTGATGAAGTCCATCCCTGATTGACGACCTTGAATCATCAAAGATGGACATAGACAATAATGAAAGAGTATGATCAAGATTATCATGAAACTTGATTTCCCCTGATCTTTAATTACTGAACATTTATCAATGAATAGAAACCCTGATTCTTTGGCCTGACATAGGGAAATAAACCCTAACTTCTAGAAATGATGAAACTGGATGGAGAAGAAGTCCAAAAATGAGCATGCTCCAAAAACCCTAATTCACAGTCTCGTATACCAGGAAGACCCTGAATAATCAGACTTATTCAACCCATACACCTCAAATCAGCTGTAAACCTAGCTCCCTAACTGCTAATCTTTTGAACCTCAGGTGATCCATTTTTATGAAAATGCGTGCTATGCATATGACCTATTGGAATGATGCAGATGAATGCAAAGTCTAAGCCAGCATAAGAGAAATTTAGGAGGGAAAATTTTGGGGTGCAACACTACCCCTATTTAATTACTCTTCAATTGAGGGTGCGAGAATATGAAGGTCTCGCACATCCGAATCGAAGGGTTATTAAATAATAGATGACCCAAAAATTTGATAAAAAGATTTAGAATGATAAAGATAAACCACAAGATAAATAGGCAATGGTGACGTGGTTAACTCACCATTGTCCAATCAGAGAGTATGATCTACCTAGATATAACGACGTGGATGACCCATCAACATTATAGATTTTGTGTATTTACTGTAACCTAGGAGATAAACAACACAAGTTTGAAAAGTAACTTACTAACATTTCGAGACTAACATAGTATGTTGCTACATATATTTTACCTACTCACCACAACCTAGGGGATGAATAACACAATGTTTTATACTCATTGTTTCTTGGAGACTAACACAATGAATTATGTCGCAAAAAATATATAACTTATTCCTGTTTCGAGACTAACACAACGAGTTATATTGTAGATTTCGTATATCTACTACAACATATAGAGGAAATGACACGGGTTCGAAAATAACTTACTAACGCTTCGAGACTAACATAGTAAGGTATAACGTAAACTTGTTCATCTATCACGACCTAGAGGATAATCATCACAGACCTGATAATTCATCGTTGCTTGGAGACTGATACAATGAATTATATCGTAGATTTTCACATACCTACCGTGACCTAGGGGGTAAATAACACGTGTTTTAAAAACAAATAACTTACTAAAACTTTGAGACTAACATAGTAAGCTATATCACTGATTTTCATATTTATCACATTCTAGGGGATAAGTAATGCGAATTATAAGAAAGAGTGTTTTGATAATTGAAACTTAGATAACAAAACCAAAGATATAATGATTTATCGGTTGTGTTTGTTCTCAACCAAGGTATTTATTTGTCTTGCGCATATAAGTTGATTCACAATAGGCCCCAAGATATGTCTCAGTATTCCTAACCTAAGCGGCTTTTAAAATGCAATGCACAATGTATATACACAATGCCCGAAATATGATACACAAATGTGTTATTTTGTATATGCACCAAATGTCTTGTATATACGTGCTCCAAGTGTTTTTTGTAATTTTTTTTGATAATTTCCTCCTTTTAAACCATTAGATTTTCTAAGTCACCAACTTCTCAATGTTGTTTTTTGTTTTTTCGTGGTGTCTCTAAGTTGATTTGAATTTGATACGCAGAAGTAAATAGTCTCAATTTTGATAATGGTATTTGTTTCGATGTTTTTCTAACCAAAATGCTTTTTGATGTTTTATCAAATGCTTTTATTTGTTTTGTCAAATCCTCAAAATAAGTTCGACGTAATGTTTACAAGAAATAATCGTAGTATTTTGAAAACAAGTCAGAAAAAGAAAAACACCTTTGAATAAACTAAATTATATTATTAATAAAAATGCCTTTGAATAGGCGTGAGTACAAGATACAATTCCTAAAAAGAGGTAATTACATAAAGTTTTAACAATTTGAAAATGGCAATGAAAATGATAATTGTTACTGATGTTTCTCCAATATCCTTTGATAACTCCAATCTCCTTTGCTTTTGAGTCAGATAATTTAGATAAATCATTCTCATTCGTAGTCGTGGTAATAAATTCTCGAATTCCAGTCTATTTGTTCATTTTTTTAATAAGATCCCTAACTTTTTCCTGGGCTGCCCTTTTGGGTTTTCAATCCACCGGGATAATAATTTTTGTTTATATGTCCCTAATTTTTTCCTGGATCTCCCTTTAGGGTTTTCAATCCACCAGGACGCCTCTTTTTACCTAAGTCACCCATTTAGGGTTTCGAATTAGCGGGCCTTTTATACATAGTATTTTTTACTACGTCAAAGTTCGTCGGATGTGATAGTTCTTCCCCATCCGTTATTGTGATGATAAAACCTCCACCTGAGAATGCTCTTTTAACCACATATGGACCTTCGTAGTTACGTGTCCATTTTCCACGTGAATCTCAGCGAGGTATCAAAATCTTCTTGAGAACCAAATCCCTTTCTTTGAACACGCAAGGATAGACCTTTTAATCAAATGCCTTCTTCATCAGCTTTTGGTAAAACTGACCATGGCACAAAGCCATTAAGAGTTTTTCTTCAATGAGGTTGAGCTGATCAAGTCACGCATGAACCCACTCTGAATCTTCAAGTTTGGTTTCCATTAGAACTCGTAGTGATGGAATCTCCACTTCAACATGGAGTACATCCTCCATGCCATATACAAGTGAGAAATGAGTTTCCCCTGAAGTACGTACTGAGGTATGATAGCCATATAGAGCAAATGGGAGTTTTTCATGCCAAACTTTATATGTCTTCACCATTTTCTGAATGATTTTCTTGATATTCTTATTGGAAGCTTCAACGGCCCCGTTCATCTTGGGCTGATAAGGTGATGAGTTATGATGTTCAATCTTGAAGTCATTGCATAACTCCTTCACCATTTTATTGTTCAGGTTGGACCCATTGTCTGTAACAATCCTTCTAGGAACCCCATATCTGCATATAAGGTTCTATTTGATAAATCGAGTAGCCACTTGTCTTGTCACATTCGCATAGGATGCAACTTCTACCCACATGGTAAAATAATCAATGGAGACTAGTATGAATCAGTGTCCATTAGAAGCCTTTTGTTTGATCATTCCTATCATATCAATTCCCCATATTTAGAATGGCCAAGATGAACTCAGGACATTCAGAGGAGTTGGCGGAACGTACAGTTTGTCAACATAGATTTGGCATTTGTGACATGTCTTTGTATAATGTAACAATCAGATTCCGTCGTCAACCAATAATAACCTGCTCATAATATTTTTATAGCCATGGCATGTCCATATGTATGAGTCCTGGAGGTTCCTTCATGGATCTCTCTCATAAGCGTATCTACTTCATGTTTCTCCACGCACCTGAGTAACAACATATCATAGTTTCTTTTGTACAACACATCGCCATTTAAAAAGAACTTCGCAATTAGATTTCATAGATTTCGCTTATCAATTATGGAGGCGTTCTATGGATATTCTTGTTTCTCCTAATACCTCTTGATGTCATAGAACCAAGGCTTGTTATATGGCCCTTCTTCAATGGCAAGACAGTGCGCAAGTTCTTCAAAATGTCTGATCATGATGTGTGGTTCATGATTTGGCCAAGTTACATTGAACATGGCTGACAAAGTTGCCAAGGCGTCTTCCATCTGATTTTCTTCTCGTGGAATATGAGTGAAAGTAATCTTAGAGAATTTCGTAGCTAGCTTCAAAACATGATCTCGATATGGAATCAATTTGGGATGTCGAGTGTCCCATTCACCATTGACTTGGTATATGACCAATGTTGAGTCTCCATACACTTAAAAGTATTTAATCCTTATATCAATA